ATTGATTCATACATTTGGACATTAAGTGCAAAGTGCGCAGGTCAATACAGAACCACGTATATATATGTGTGTATATATAGATAGAGATATTTTCTTATAATGGTTAATAATAATTTGGTGAAATAGTTAAATGTCCTTTCTCAAAATGAGAAAATTGTCTTTTGGTTTGTTCATGGTTCCTTTAATATCTATTTTTGTTAGCACCAGATCTGTAAAGGACCCTGTTCACAAGGCTGAAATTGACTTGTACTGTGGTAAGTTAACGTCATTAAACATTCTGATATTTCTATTGTGTTTATCTTTTGGACAGTATCAGTTATGTAACAAATATGCTTTATCTAGACCTTTGAAGTCAACTGTGGTAATCTGACGTACATATTGGTGTTTATCTTTTGGACAGTATCAGTTATGTAACAAATACACTTTATCTAGACATTTGAAGTCAACTGTAATAATCTGACGTACATATTGGTGTTTATCTTTTAGACAATATCAGTTATGTAACAAATACACTTTAACTAGATGTTTGAAGTCAACTGTAATAATCTGACGTTACATTTCTGATGTTTAGCTTTTAGACAATATCAGTTATGTAACAAATACACTTTATCTAGACGTTTGAAGTCAACTGTAATAATCTGACGTTACATTCTGATGTTTAGCTTTTGAACAATATCAGTTCTGTAACAGATTATCCAAACGTTTGAAGTAAACTGTAATAATTTAACGTTACATTCTGGTATTTATCTGTAACCGAATATCTAAATGGTCTAAGTCAACTGGAAAAATTACATTGTAACTTAATCAGGAATAATAAAAGTTTTGAGACGACTTGACTGGGTAATTAAAAGCTATTATAAATGTACGGCGTTTCGACAAGATTTTGTCACCCTCGGGTACAAGTAGTACAACCACACAGAATCTATGCCTGTTCTCAGGGACGCCATGTTTCGTAGCATTCACGATGCTTACAGCTCAAACACAAGTCTTTCTGTTCAGACAAATCAAAATGTAAAAAAACTAGAACTAACTTCCATACGTATGACTGTGTTTTGTATTGATATTCCATTTGGAACTCTCTTTCCGCCATTTTGGTCACAACTAGTTGGGTCTGTAGCCTATTGCTTAGTGAAGCCTAGTTTAGGTTAAAACTAAGTTAAGGCCAGTTGCAATGCTGGCTAAAAGTAAAGGCTAGGTTAATCTATTCTAATGTGTTGTTTCAGTAATTCAGAAAATAAGAAAGCTTAATCAAAGAGGGATAAGTTAGTTCCTCTGGATTTAATTTATAGTTTATTCAAAAATAAAATTAATTTTAATAGTATCTCTTTTTAAGAATATGAGTAGTGATATTTGGGAGGTGGGGGTGGTGGGTGGGTGGCGGGAGGCAATTACTCCACTCACTCTAGGCTTTATAAATATTTAAACTTTTTTGTGTAAATTTGATGCTTTCTTACATTGTTTAACTGATATTAAGCCTGCATTAAAAATATTTCTTTTGTGAATGGAATTTTTTCAGATTGGAGAAAGAATTTCATATTTTTTTGTGGTTTCTTTAAATCTTCTCAAGAATCATCAGAAGTTATCCAAATTAAATTATTTATTATACTTTAACAATAATTTATTAGGAACTCCCCTGCTCTTTCATATCTGCTGCTAAAAAGAAGGTGAAGCTTCAGAACCAGTTTCACTAAGACAGATATACACGTCAGCTGTTTGTCTTAACATAGCATATGCACAAAATATTACCTATATTAACTATTTCATGTACAGCAGAAGTATCAAAGTAATTATACTTTTAATACAAAATATTACCTTTATTTTATCAACTTGTTTTCCGTCCTCCAATTTTCTTTTTTTAATATTTTTATTTACTTCCAGATTTTCACAGATCTCTATGTCAGTTTCCTGTTAAAAAATCAAAATTTATATTATGAGCTGAAATTACAGCTCATATAAGCTTTAATTCTAGAAATGCAATCTTTGTACTAATTGTAAAACATTTACTAGAACAGTTAATATTGTATCTGAGTAACTTGTATTTTACTTTAGGGAGATCCTATTTTATTGTATCTGCAAAAAATTGGGGCTTTAATGGTGCAAAGAGCATAAACATAAATGTACAGTAAGACATTATAAAAACACAATTTTACAAAAAAGATCATCTTTCTATGTATAGAGTAAAGTAATCACAATAAAATGAAATATAAAGCTACTTTACTTCATCTCTGAGAAAAAAAACCCTAGACATATGGTCACAAGAAGGCTTAGATGCTTGTAATATCCTCCAGATATCATAACTTTCATCTACTGACACCTCTAGTAGATCTCCTTCCATCATCAGTTCGAATAAAATTCATAATAAGGACTGTCACACACAGTAATTCTGCCATTCTGAGTACATCTAATAGGAATAAAATTTGTAATAAGGACTGTTGCATGTAGTAATTCTGCCATTCTGAGTACATCTAGTAAGAATAAAATTTGTAATAAGGACTGTTACTTCAATATTAGTAAACATTATCTAAATAAACCTAGTAAATAACTCTTACAGAAATAACAACTCAAAAAAACTCCAACATTAGTAAACATTATCTAAATAAACCTAGTAAATAACTCTTACAGAAATAACAACTCAACAAAATTTCAATATTAGTAAACGTTATCTAAATAAACCTAGTAAATAACTCTAACAGAAATAACAACTCAACAAAATTTCAACATTAGTAAACATTAACTAAATAAACCTAGAAATTAACTCTTACAGATTTAAAAACATAAAACCCAGCACAACTTCAATATTAGTAAACATTAACTAAATAAACCTAGAAAATAACTCTTACAGAAATAACAACTCAACAAAACTTCAACATTAGTAAATATTAACTAAATAAACCTAGTAAATAACTCTTACAGAAATAACAACTCAACAAAACTTCAATATTAGTAAACATTAACTAAATAAACCTAGAAAATAACTCTTACAGAAATAACAACTCAACACAACTCCAACATTAGTAAACATTATCTAAATAAACCTAGTAAATAACTCTTACAGAAATAACAACTCAACAAAATTTCAACATTAGTAAACATTATCTAAATAAACCTAGAAATTAACTCTTACAGATTTAAAAACATAAAACACAGCACAACTTCAATATTAGTAAACATTAACTAAATAAACCTAGAAAATAACTTACAGAAATAACAACTCAACAAAACCCCAACATTAGTAAACATTATCTAAATAAACCTAGAAAATAACTCTTTCAGAAATAACAAATCAACAAAACTCCAACATTAGTAAACATTATCTAAATAAACCTAGAAAATAACTCTTACAGATTTAAAAACATAAAACACAGCACAACTTCAATATTAGTAAATATTAACTAAATAAACCTAGAAATTAACTCTTACAGATTTAAAAACATAAAACTCAGCACAACTTCAAAATGCCAATATTAAATTAAAAGTTGTGGTCCCACTCTTTAAATTTCCTGAACTTCGTGTTTGTTGTAAAGAATATCAATATCAACCTTCTCCACACCTTTTTTAGTAAATACATTTATAACAGAGAGAGAGAGGCGAAGATAAATCAATATTTTTGTTTCAGTATCTATAGATTAAACCAGCTTACCTGTTGGTCGTAAACACTCTATAGCTGCACAAAAATCTTCTTCCTCTTCAGACAGGACAACTTGTTCTGTTGTCATTGTTTCTTCATTGGACTGCAATTCTTTGCTTTCACTAATCTGAGTCTTTATCCTAAAAGTCTTTTTCACGAAAGGATTCACCTGCCTCGAAGATCCAAAGTTAGAGTTACTCTTGCACTGGAAACTTTTACTTACTGATTCTGACTCACTGACAAATGATTTTCCACTTTTATACACTTTTAACTTCTTTGATTTTAGTTGATACATCTCATTAGATGGACTATTTGAATGCTGCATCTTGGCTGTAACTAATTTCTCTTTAACCTAAATACAAAAAAATATATAAAATATTATGATATAAAATGTTTTTGATACTAAAAGAGATTGCTTGGAGTGATAACTAAATGTACAACTTTAATGTTTGGCAACTATTAAATATTACCTAAATATCATTATAAATTCTGTATATTTCAACTTCTCCATGTCATTTTCACACATTTGAAAGACTTAACAAAGACTAAGAAACTGACAAAACAAATTCAGTTAAAATAACATAAAGATACAGTTTATGGAGTAGTTTTATAGTTTAGTTTGACAACAGTTTTCTGTTAATCAATAAACATAATAATGAAAACTTCTTCACACAGTACATATAAATCTACTACTAGATTTAATAAGAATGGCAGAGTTACTACATGTTTTTGAGTTGTTATTTCTGTAAGAGTTATTTACTAGGTTTATTTAGATAATGTTTACTAATGTTGGAGTTGTGTTGAGTTGTTATTTCTGTAAGTTATTTTCTAGGTTTATTTAGTTAATGTTTATTAATATTGAAGTTGTGCTGTGTTTTATGTTTTTAAATCTGTAAGAGTTATTTACTAGGTTTATTTAGATAATGTTTACTAATGTTGGAGTTTTGTTGAGTTGTTATTTCTGTTAGAGTTATTTACTAGGTTTATTTAGATAATTTTTACTAATATTGAAGTTTTTTTCCAGGTGAAGATGTCTGGTAGTTACAAGTTATTTATGATTCAAAATTGACATACAATAATGAGCAATGAAAAAAACAACAACAGATGCAAAAGATACATAAGAGTGAGACTACTAATTTTTATTAATGGGCTAGAGGGCTCTAAAGCTACAGCATTTGTAAGAGAAGTGAAAGAAAGAAGGAGTCCTAAAATGACTGAATTATGAAAATGCACTCATAGTTAGCATAGCAATAAAACCTAATAATAAACACTTGTTGAGTCTGCTATTCACAATACACAACAAAATGCAGCAAGATAAGAATCGTGAGAGAGAAGTATTTTTTCCTGTGAAATAAAAACAATGAACTAATAAAGGCTCAGTTAAAGGTTACTCAGGAAATATATGATGGTACAATTAGAGATAAAATGTCGCTACCAGAATAATTATCCTTTCAAAGGTAAAGGTGTTTAATAACTTTTAGTTACATATTCACAATAAAACAAGTAAAACTAATATAAAATCTATTTTACAGTAGTTTATAAAAAATGGAACATCATTAATAATCTGATAATGAAGTTTGGTCACAGTTTAAAAGTTATCTACAACCAAGAGTTATTAAGATGGAATAGTAACTAAACTGATGGGAATCTTCAGACTAGCCTAAAGAGGATGAAACTTTTCATCTCCTGCTTTACACAGAAGACTTTTTATTATGAACAACGTCAATGATTATTGAATATATAAAACCATTTGTATGAAATGTTTGAATATTACCAACTTCTGAGCAGAAACACTAACCTCCTTAAGTTGTTGGTTTGTGAATTAAGTGTCTCATCTGACAAGTCATAAAACTACTAATGACAGAAAGTAATTTATATTCTAAATTGCTGTAGATAAACAAAACACTAAGGAATTTAAATATTAATTGAACTTGAATGTACTTAAACAGCATATATTGGTTGTTAACACTTCACTATTTAAAATATGCAGCTAATTACTAAAGTAATACTTTTGATTACCTAGAGTAGTTTAAATTTAAAGAAGAGTTCTTGATGATTATGATAACATCTCTATTTATCAGTGGTATCCACAATTTAACCTTGAAAATTAAACATACTTCTTCATTATGGCAAGCAACAAACACTCTGCTTGTTCTTCAGTTTTGGAGTTAACATCTCAGTACACAACAAGTTTGATAGTAGGTATCTTAAACCTTTAATAATTTGATTGGTAACTCAAAAACATAAATACTAGTTAAAAAAAAAGTTTGACATCACAAGAACTAGAGCTACTTTCAACTTCAAGTGAGTGAAATATACATGACTTCTTCTCCAAACTGAATTCATAAAAGTACTAAAACAACAGCACAACTGGCGATTTAACAGATGCAGAGAAACACTTCACCAACAGTGACATCTGTTATGTCAACAGATCAACAGGTTTAACAATACTTGGTACGATATCTAGTGTGCTCTCTTCCTCTTGTAAACAATCCATTGACAAACTTGAGAAATCACTATTAGGAACACAACCGGGACAAATATAATCTTCAGTTTCACTGATGTCGTTCAATTCTAGTCCCATGCAGTGGAGGTGAAACCATTCCTCGCAACCTCCATCACACTGTACCCAATTGACAGCATCTCCTGAATAGAAAATGTAATCTAAATAAATCTAGAAAACAATTCTTATAGACTTAACAACAAACAACCAAGCACAACTTCAACATTAGTAAACATTATCTAAATAAACCTAGTAAATAACTCTTACAGAAATAACAACATAAAACCTAGCACAACTTCAATATTAGTAAACATTAACTAAATAAACCTAGAAAATAACTCTTACAGAAATAACAACTCAACAAAACTCCAACATTAGTAAACATTATCTAAATAAACCTAGTAAATAACTCTTACAGAAATAACAACTCTTTGTTCTGTTAACTTTAAGTCACAAATAACTTGTAACTACTAGACATTTTCACCTGATTTGTTCTGTTAACTTTAAGTCACAAATAACTTTTAACTACTAGACATCTTCACCTGATTTGTTCTGTTAACGCTTAACTACCAGACATCTTCACCTGGTTTGTTCTGTTAACTTTAAGTCACAAATAACTTGTAACTACTAGACATCTTCACCTGATTTGTTCTGTTAACTTTAACTACCAGACATCTTCACCTGGTTTGTTCTGTTAACGTTTATCTTATGGACGTAACTAACATATAATAGCATACTTCCACAATTTTACCTGAACAAAGTCCCCTTTATCTTCTGGACATAACTAAAATATAATAGCTTACTTCCACAACTTCACCTAAACAATGTCCCCTTTATCTTCTGGACGTAACTAAAATATAATAGCATACTTCCACAGCTTCACATAAACAATGTCCCCATTATTTTCTGGACGTAACTAAAATATAATAGCTTACTTCCACAATTTTACCTGAACAAGGTCCCCTTTATCTTCTGGACGTAACTAAAATATAATAGCTTACTTCCACAACTTCACCTGAACAAAGTCCCCTTTATCTTCTGGACGTAACTAAAATATAATAGCATACTTCCACAACTTCACCTGAACAAAGTCCCCTTTATCTTCTGGACGTAACTAAAATATAATAGCATACTTCCACAACTTCACCTAAACAAAGTCCCCTTTATCTCTGGAAATAGCTACAATTTAATCACATACTTTCACAAACTTACCTCAACTAAAATATAATAGCATACTTTCACCTGAACAAAGTCCCCTTTATCTTCTGGACATAGCTACAATTTAATTACATACTTTCATAAACTTACCTCAACAAAAACCCCTAAATTTTACCAATGAATGTAATTCAAAGATAAATAATTAGTCTGGGTTGTAAAGCTACAATACTTAGAAGTGAGGTTATAGCATAGCCTGGATAATACATCTACAATGTATGCAACTGAGGCCATGACACTAGACTGGGTGCTGCACTTACAATACTTAGAAGTGAGGTTATAGTATAGCCTGGATAATACATCTATAATATAAGCAACTGAGGCCATGACACTAGACTGGGTGCTGCAGTTACAATACTTAGAAGTGAGGTTATAGCATAGCCTGGATAATACATCTATAATATAAGCAACTGAGGCCATGACACTAGACTGGGTGCTGCAGTTACAATACTTAGAAGTGAGGTTATAGCATAGCCTGGATAATACATCTACAATGTATGCAACTGAGGCTATGACACTTGGGTGGGTAATACAAATAGAACATTTCCAAAGTTATTTTGTATTCTATAATCTCAAATAAATCTTTTATTTATTCAAATCAACCAAACGTTACAGGTGTCATGGAATGACATACAGTAGAATAGCTACATTATCAGAGCTTTGTAGAATTAAAGTCTGCATATGTTGATACGTACAGCTACTCCTACTTGAACAATAGCACTATAACTTGACCCATTTAATGATCTGGTTTTATATCATCAGTCACTTGTTATCAATCAGTTTGTTAATGTCTCAAATTGATAGAACCTTGTGAGCTGTAAATGATGGAACAGATAGGGCTTCCCAAATGGCCTGTTTTATAGAATGGAGCCAGAGAGGAGAAGGTTGGGTCTGAATGAGATGAGTGTTGAAAAAAACACCCAAATGGATCAAGTATTGGGTAGGACAAATGAAAGACGTCTCCAATTTGACCAACCAGCCCACCCACACAGCTTCGGCCAGGAGCTGATGACTGTGACAGGCCAATTCCCATTCAGAATGAGCAAGAAGAAGATGTCTGGTAGTTAAAAGTTAATAGAACAAACCAGGTGATAATGTCTAGTAGTTAAAAGTTAACAGAACAAACCAGGTGAAGATGTCTGGTAGTTAAAAGTTAACAGAACAAATCAGGTGAAGATGCCTAGTAGTTAAACGTTAACAGAACAAATCAGGTGAAGATGTCTTGTAGTTAAAAGTTAACAGAACAAATTAGGTGAAGATGCCTTTTAGTTAAACATTAACAGAACAAACCAGGTGAAGATGTCTGGTACTTAAAAGTTAACAGAACAAACCAGGTGAAGATGTCTAGTAGTTAAAAGTTAACAGAACAAACCAGGTGAAAAGGTCTAGTAGTTAAAAGTTAACAGAATAAATCAGGTGAAGATGTCTAGTAGTTACAAGTTATTTGTAACTTAAAGTTCACAGAACAAATCAGGTGAAGATGTCTAGTAGTTAAAAGTTAACAGAACAAACCAGGTGAAGATGCCTAGTAGTTAAAACTTCTACAACTTCACCTGAACAAAGTCCCCTTTATCTTCTGGACGTAACTAAAATATAATAGCATACTTCCGCAACTTCACCCGAACAAAGTCCCCTTTATCTTCTGGACGTAACTAAAATATAATAGCTTACTTCTACAACTTCACCTGAACAAAGTCCCCAAGCTATTATATTTTAGTTACGTCCAGAGATAAAGGGGACTTTGTTCGGGTGAAGTTGTGGAAGTATGCTATTATATTTTAGTTACGTCCAGAAGATAAAGGGGACATTGTTTAGGTGAAGCTGTGGAAGTATGCTATTATATTTTAGTTACGTCCAGAAGATAAAGGGGACATTGTTTAGGTGAAGTTGTGGAAGTAAGCTATTATATTTTAGTTATGTCCATAAGATAAAGGGGACATTGTTTAGGTGAAGTTGTGGAAGTAAGCTATTATATTTTAGTTATGTCCATAAGATAAA